TTTCTTTTTAAAATTGCTTTGAGTTTCTTTGAACTGTCATAATTAATTTCAAATTATGAAAATCAAGTTGGAATTAAAGAAATTAATTTAGAATTATGGAAATTAACCTGAAAACTAATTTCGGTGAAAATTTTTTGGATGAAATTCGCCATAATTCCTGAAAAAAACAAAACAAAAATTGTCACACTTATGCAACCAATTAAACTTATGAAAGGTATAGAGCCCGGAAATGTGGGATCAAGCCCGGAATTGCACAATTCGCAGTAAACAGTGAACAGCAAATGACTCCGGGGTTACCATGGGCGGCGATGACCCATTAAACGGGGTAATAAACCACAGGCCATGAATTATTTTATGCAAATGTCGATTTTGTGTTATTTGAGCCAAAGACATAAAAAGAAAGTGGCTGGGGGAGAGCTGGACTTGGTTTTATGATAATTTAGTGTGGAAGGAAAAGTGTACGCCACTGTCTCAATATTGGAGTAGTTGGGCCCTAAAATAGAACAACTGCGATAAAAATGATAACATTTCCGCAAACTACATTCACACAAATATTTTCGCCCTTTTTATGGAGGGAAAAGACACGAATGGAGAGGCTGCAAAGTCGCATATGCAACTTATTAACTTTATTTACAACTTTGGAAGTTTACAAGAAGTGAAACAATAAAACGGCTATGAGGAAAGTGGAAATTTGCTGCGGTAAACGGCGTTTCATAAACTTGTTTACCAAGCTCCAATTCTTCTTAATCATTTTTCAAATAAACAAAATACAAATTTTATTTGTTGTAAAATGTTATACATTTTCTAAAATGTATATTTGGTTGTCTAATCTCAAATCAAAGTGCCTGGTATGTTTAGTTGCCTATACTAAAATCATTCATTAATTAAATAATTAATTAATTRAAATTTACTAGTGTTTCAAAATTGTGTTACGACACAAACTACGCTATATTTTTGTTACATCTGTTGATTTTATGTCATATGAAGGGGCGTTAACTCTGAAATTATTTGTAAATTAGTCAAATTTTTCTGAAATTACTGGAATTTTTTCAGTAATTTCTTTTGAAATTACAGAAATTAATATGAAAACAATCGATTGTTTGAATCACTAAATTTCGTTAGATTTTTTTTTATTTATTAAAGTAAATTACTAGAATTATTTGTAAATTACTGGAAATTTTCTAGAATTTGTGGAAATCTTTTTGAAATTATTGAATT